AAAAAAAAAAGAATTTATACGTCCAAATTTTTTCTTCTAGCTTTGATTAGCTGATGATTAAATTTATCGGGTGAAATATTTATAGTTGTTTTGCAATAAACATTTTGAAATTCTTTAGTTTCATATGAAACCTTGATTGCCTTTATTCATCATCCGCTTACACTAAATTTATTAAATTATTCATCACTTTTGTTCTGTCGGCTAACAAATTTAGAATTCAAAATGACAAGTAAGATCACTCTGTTGTCTAGTGTTTTGGTGAAGTAGATGGTTATTAACTGAGGTAAACTTCGGTAAAGGCTGAGTGTTTTGACATTGCAGGATCATGCTCGGCCTTTTGTTACTTACTGGAATCGAGGATCACCCAGCGACATTAGCATTGCCACAGAGATTATCGGGTTTGATCCCAAATATCGGTTCCAAAGAGTATGCGATCTTACAGGAGCCAAACGAATCTTTTTGCCATCAGATAATCAAAATCATATCGTTGATGTAGTAAGTAAAACTAGAAACATGCTATGTCCACAGGAGAAAAGATTTAGCCAGGAAGAATTTACTGAGCGACAAAAAACGCTTGCTGTCAACAATTGCATCCTTATATTTTCTCATTTGCAGGGACGAGCGAGATCTATAAAATCCAGTGGTAAACGCATTATAGTTGAATTGAAAGGAAGGTGCTTTGAAGCCAGCCTTGCAGTTCAAAGCCATTTGGAAGAATGTCCCTGGTGTACCACAGATGCTCCAACCACATCAAAAACACCTGATCAGGTGTTTATTCTATAAAGCTTATTTTAAAGTCTCTTGAATTACATTAAGATTATTGTTTGCTGTAAGTCTAGTTTTTATTTCAGACTGCTTCTGAATTTCTAAAAGACCAACCTGCAGAATTTCCTTTGTTACCTTATTTTACCGACAAACAAACTCTTCTGATTTTATTGGTATCAGTTACCACGGCAGTGTTTGCGTGTGTTGGTTTTATATCCGTACTGTGCGCTTTTTGCCGTTTACGTACCGAAACGCATAAAAGTTGCAAAGAAAAAGTCTTTACGCTTTTACCAGTTAGTTTCTCAGGCGAACCTGGTCATCTAAGTAGGAATCGTAATTTCAGGTAGTGTATATGATGCTGTAAATATATAAATATTCGCTTTTGAAAGAATTTAATCAATATATTGCCTGCAACTGTACCGTTTCTTCTTTGAAACAATTGTCTTAATAGATCATCTTATCGACGTACATATATCATATGTTTAGGAAGCATCAGGAAACCAAAAGGCGATGCTTACCAATTCTTCACTGGGATAGCGACAGTACGACTCAGACATTGTCAACATCCGAAGAGGGTTCAGTGGACACTTTAAAATTGTTAAAACAGAAAACGTATCTAAACAGTCGACAGGTTAGTGATGCTACAGTTTATGAGAACGTCGACTCAGTTGATGATCTTCACAGGCAAAGCTTTGAAGTAGTACCGTTTGCTGTATGATCAACTGTGAAGTCGATCATATCTTGCTAGGATTTTATTTTCCTGTTCATACTGTAGTCATTTGTTAGACGGGTAAATTTTGTAATGGTTCTCACCTGCAAACTTTGGCTTTTTTCCTAGTTAAAATTCGCGTTGCTAGACAGGTGATGGTTAGGAAAATATAGATTTATAAAGCAGACATGTGATCACAAGTCAACATTTAGCCAATGTTTGTAGACATATAAGTTCAAACCAATTTTTGTAGCAATAATATTGTAAAAAAACTATTAATACACTACTTCAATTTAATATTTTGCTTTGTAAAAATGCCTTAGTTTATTATACATAAATGCAGTTATACTCTTCAAACGCGCTCAATTTAATTTTTTTTCTATATTTTTGTGCCTTTAAGTTTTCGACTTTTGTCTTTAGTTGCCATATTTTTTCTTCAAAAACCGGGAGTTGTTTGCACAACATTTTTGCCAAACCAACTTTTAAATTCTTTTTGTTTATTTACTGGATGGGTGTATTTCCTTAACCAGCGAAGAAACAACAAAATTAGAAAAACAAAGATCATTCTGAATTTATGGAACGCTTTTTCCCGTGAACAGTTTTGTGAACAACAAACAACTTTTGTTTTTAATTTGTAATATTAAAAAATAAATAGTTTTATGTCCTTAAATGACGAGAAACCTTCAGCTTTTCAACACATAAACAGCTTCAAATTTGACAGTGACGAAAAAGTTTCAAAAAATCACTACCGTTTTTGGACTATCTTCAGATTTGGCACCATCAAATCAGAAGGAAATTGCTCATCTGATTATATTTGGAATCCTTAATTTCAGATAACCTTATGTGCAAAATATCTAGGTCATCTGGCTGGAATACCACTGCAAAGATTTTATTATAAAGTCATGAAAACGAAATTTTTGATGCGTTTTCTACCTCCAATAAGCAGTTATTAAATTAGAAGTAATGCATGTGATTAGGCTTTTATTCGCTGATTAACACAACATTTGATGAAATAGCTAACGGACAGCAACCAGATGATAACAAATGCTACCAAATAGGTAGACCATTCTCATCCCTACTTCTTATTCTCCGTTATTTTCAAACAAATTTGTGCCGGTCACTGGTCACCTGAAACACGAGGATATAGAACACCTATTATTAATGATACTAATCGTAAAATCTTTATGCGGGAACAGAACAGCAGAGAAAAATACGTCATTTAAAAAAGCATGTAATCGAACAAGAGTGACGGTTCTTAAATAACTGCCCTTAGAATTAAGCCAAAGTAAAAAATAAAAAAAAAAAACACGTATCAGCTTTAGAAAACAAAGCTCACTTCTTATCAAGATTTGATATCTCGTCGCACGCCTGATGTCAACACTGCTCAGAACCAGAGGCTTGACTTGCTGCTGAACCTTCATGTCAAAACTGCTTCGCCATTTAACAGGTTGCTGGAAAGAGTAATCAACAATAAAAAAAATTAATGAATATGTTTTTTCGTCTGGTTGTCCAACATCTTTTATTGATCATTAAAGGTTAACAGCTTACCAGTTTGGAGAAGTCGTGGCAGTTTCGATTTGAAACCTTGCATAAATAACAAACATAAAGATTCACTAAACAGAATCATGGCCACTATCGTTGTGATGATCAGAGAGCACAAGTGCTGGGGTTTCGTAGTGTACCGCATCATCGCTGTTTCGTGAAGTCTGATAAATCAACGTTCCAGATGTATATGGAGAGCTTTTATTAACTGAACAGGTTAATCCATTTCTGTTATTAGGCCAATGGGGTAAAGGACGATATTTCTGATCCCATGGCATATCATATCTGCAACACCTGCTAAATGTTTCTGAGTTATTAATTATTGAAAACTTGAAAACGTTTTAAGTCTGAAGAAAAAAACATAAATAAAAATAAAGTCAAAAATTTTAATATAATAATAAAAATAAATAATTTATTTTACAAAATCAATAAAAATTCAGAAAAATCGCAAGTAAATCGTGCAGGGTTGCGGTAAAAATAGATTTATGACAATTATTTCATAAAAACGTTTCTTGGCTATGCTGAAAAAATTACAAAAAAAAAGAACAAAAAAGAATTTCTTTTGAAAATTCTCCCCTAATTGACTCGGTGAGCGACGTGTACAGCATTAACACTTGTTTTTGAAAAACTAACCTAGAATCATCAGTGATTTTAACGGTATCCCCGATAATTGCGGATGGATAATATGTTTCAACGGGATATTTGGATGTTTTTGATGAGCCTTTTCGTTGTTTGATAAAGGCGAGCAAAAGACAAGCAAATGCAGCAGTACTTAGCAACGCTATGCCGGCCAACACAGCCAAAGCTATAAACAAATATTGGACATCCCGATTAAAGCGATGTAGCACGGAAGTACCATTTCGACCGTCCAATTCCTGAATTTAGAGGTCTAAGACAGCCACTAATCTGTTGCAGTTGCTATATTCTCAGAAATTGTTAACACCAATAAAAATAAATTTGAAGTCTAATTAACTGCTTAGCTGAATTTTTTATTAAAAGAAGTATTATTTTTCAATTTGAATAGTGAAAAATTTTTTGGCTCTAACAGCGGCACTCAAAACTGTCTCATCAATAACACCTAAGAAGAATGTCGCCAATACATCATCGTAGTCGTCTGCAATAATATATTTTTTTAATTTAAAATTTTCACACAATTTCGAAAAAATTTTTCCCTTATTTTATTATTTTTAGTAAATCCTCATGAAAAACGGTAGTGTTGAAAAAAAAAAGTTAAATTATAATGCATAAATTTTTTTCATACAAGACAAATCATTGTTCAAAATATGAAAGCAAAAAAATTCTTTTTTTTTTTTTTTCTGCCCTTATCATTCATTACTCTTTTTTTTTCTTACTGGCAGCTAAGCAATCATAACGCCTAAAATTTTTACCAAATATGTTTAAATTCTGCTAACAAAAATAACAAAATCCTAGCACAAATTATTCATTTTAATTTTTTTTTATTGCAATAGGATGCGAGAATAGATGAAAAAAGCTCAGCAAAAATATAGCTCAAGTTAGAAGATCAAAACTGATGTTAGATGCTAAATTTAATCGATAAGCATCAATGTTTGCCAGTTTAGACACACATACAGTTTGTCCAACAAAGGCCATAAGTTGTTGATCCTGTTTCTCCTGACACCAAGGACACTGTTGTTCGTGTTTTTCAACCGTTAACGATGCATTGAAACATCTACCTTTCAATTCTACAGCAATTTTAGTACTGCCCTCAAACTCCACATTGTCAGCTCGACGAGCTCGAGCCACCTGAACAAACAGATACAGTTAAAATCATCGCAAATAATTTTGGTTTTATTTGACGCTTTTTAACTTTTTTTTTTTCCTAGTTATGCAGCGACTTTAGAAATTTATGTTTCAATACAAAAGTAAAAAAAAATCTATTTAAAAAAAAATTAAATAAGTATAGCTTTGTAAAAACGCAGTGATTATTACTCTTTTCCTTCCTCCCCTCTTCTCTTATCCTTCCACTCTTCACTCACTTCAACGACGATACACAGCGATATGTATCGCATCATTAATTCTGCCTTAAATATCCACTTAAAACCCCGATCAAATTATCCATTTTTTTTAAATGCTTTATTGAAGAAATAAGACAACTATTACAGA